TGTGGGAGCACCTGGGGGAACCAGCCCCCCCATCTGCAAGCCGTGGGGCTGCTGAGGGTCGGGAAATTGCTCTGGCCTTATTTTCCTTCCCTGTTGCCAGCAGAGAGCAGCAAAACTCTTCCCCTGGCTCAGCCTGGCTGCCATGGTTGGGTTCTGGGGAAGAGGACTGAGTGGGGGATTCAGGACCCAGGTGGGCGCAGATCCCATCTCCACTGCCGCGTTAGCGGGGCGACCACAGCTCTGTGTCCGTCTGTCTGGGTGTCCTGCAGCAGGTAACCCCAGGCGCTGCTCCCAGCAGTAAATGCCGGGGTAGCTGGGTCTGGAGCTGGCGTGAGCTGGAGTTATACCACGTCCTGCAAACGGGAAGCCTCTCTTAAGCCCTGTTCCTGCCCACATGCGCAGGCTTAGCTCTTGCTGGCCTTGCCGCCCTCTGCTCTTCTCTTTGGTGACAGTAAGTGACTTTCTTGGTGGTTTGAACTGAGTGGAAGAGCTGATGACTGAGCCCTGACCTGCCTCGAACGTCAGGGAGGATGCGCTTCACGCTGAGCATCCTTTAAAGGAAAGACAGTGACACCCCTGCCGGTCCCTTGTGCCCCCCTCCCCCTGAGCCTGTCCCCGTGTCTGTGCCCACGCAGGGCTGATGATCTCGGGCTTTGCCCAGGCCGGGGCGGCCCTGGCCAAGCAGGAGTACGTGAGCCGGGCCGCGCAGGCGGCCGCCTTCCTGCGGAGACACCTTTTCGACCCCACCAGTGGGAGGTTGCTGCGGAGCTGCTACCGGGGCGCAGACAGCGCGGTGGAGCAGAGGTCAGCACTGGTGCGGGGGGGGTCTCCGCACCGACTGGCCACCCTGCAGGTGCTGCCCAGGCCCTCAGCGGTCCCCATCCTGCCCTCCTCCAGCCGGGACTGAACTCGGAGGGAGGGAGGCTGTTTGCCTTGCGCAGAAATGCCTCCGGTGCGGTTTGGGATAGATTAGTGCCCTGCACCCAGTGAGGAGGAATTAAGGTCAAATCCTTTCCCATTCCTCATCCTCCCGGCTGGCAGGAGCCTCCCGCTGCCCTCCCCTGCTGTACAGAAACCCGGGGCTGAGCCGTGTGCTGGCTTGGCCGCTGCTTGACTCAGACCGAGCTCCAGGAAGGGCCAGGCCAGGGGAGGTGGCATCTCCGTGGGTAACAGACACCAGTAGATAGGGCTTTACCCTGCCAGCACCACTGGGTTGGAGAACATTTCCCACCTGGCCAGTGTAGAGACCCTGATGCCCCTTCCCCATCTGCCACTGCAGCACTGTGCCCATCCAGGGCTTCCTGGAGGATTACGTCTTCGTCATCCAGGCTCTCTTTGACCTGTACGAAGCCTCGCTGGAGCAGAGCTGGCTGGAGTGGGCCCTGCAGCTCCAGCACACGCAAGACAAGCTCTTCTGGGATCCCAAAGGCTTTGCGTATTTCTCCAGCGAGGCTGGTGACCCCTCTCTGCTCCTGCGCCTGAAGGACGGTGAGCTGGGGGACGTGGCCATGCTCTGCATAGGTTGCGGTGTGGGGCAGCTGAGGGAGGGCAGGGGTGACCCTGGCCGGAGGACCGAGCCGTGGGGTGGCGAGGCGTTGGCTGACAGAGGAGCTGTTGTCCCCCGCAGACCAAGATGGAGCAGAGCCCACCGCCAACTCCGTTGCTGTCACAAACCTGCTCCGAGTGGCTTGTTACTCCGGCCACATGGAGTGGGTGGAGAAAGCCGAGCGGATCTTGGCCGCCTTCTCAGAGAGGCTGCAGAAGATCCCGATAACCCTGCCAGAGATGGCCCGGGCCACCGCTGTCTTCCATCACACCCTCAAACAGGTACAGGCTGGGGCTCACGTGTCCCCTGCCGTGGCGGGCAGAGGTGGTGTGTGGGTGCAGTCACAGCTCCCTGCTTTCTCCCTCCTGCCACCCAC